AAATAATGTTACTTTGAAGAGACAAAAATAAGATCATTTGAAGAGCATTCTGACCATAATCAAGTACAATAACAATGGTAAATCCATGTGAATATGAGCTAAATCCTGGATTTTTTTTTTTTTTTTTTTAAGCAATATCAGTGAATATAAGTGAAGAAAATACAACTGACACTTTTCAAAAGTTTTTTTTTTTTTTAAAATGAGATGTTGCTGGAAGATACTTCATGTGTAGTACGAAATTTACTAAACTGAATAAAATATCATCAAAACAGTAGTGCATCCAACTTATGAGCACATGCATGGAGTCTGGGATTCAATTATTTGGAATGTTAACTAATGTTTTCACCGTGTCCATGTTCTTATTGGACTAGAATTCTAGATAGCATGTCCAGGTATAAAATCTTCATGGGAAGGTAAGGAACCAGAGTGTCCAAGGATGCTAATACAATAAATAGAAATGGTAAATGTTACCTAGCTGAATTTTAAATCTGTAATCACTTAATTGATTCTGGTTAGCACTTGAACTCGGCTATACTTTTATGCAGATCTCTTATTCTCTTTGGCTCTTTGTTTATATCTAGGCCACCCCAAAAGTAATCACAGAATCACAGAATTGCAGGGATTGAAAGGTTCCAACCTCCCTGCTAAAGCAGGTACTCTACAGTAGGTTGCACAGGTAGGCATCCAGGTGGGTCTTGAATATCTCCAAAGAAGGAAACTCCACAACTTCTCTGTGCAACTGCTTGCCACTGCACACTACCAAGAAGAGCCCAGCCTCATCCATTTGCCTCCCACTTTCCTTTAGATTTTTATGTATATTAATCAGTCGCCCCCTCCGTCTTCTTTTCCTTCGGCTGAAGAGACCCATGTTACTCAGCCTTTACTCGTAAGGGAGTTGTTTGGATACCCCTTACTCCAAAAATATCAACAATCCGTGTTATTGGAGCATTAACTCTTTAACTCCCTGTGCACTACGTGATGTTACAGTGTGGAATACTAATTACAAAAAATCATAATATCATGACACCAGTATTATAAGCAGCCTGATTTTTCTAATCATTAAGAGTACATGATCCACTTTTTACATAAAAAGCCCAAATAGTATAGCTCCAGAATATTCAAATTGTATTTAAAAAATGCACTCTTTTTCACTCTCACTCATAGCATTATTGTTTGCCTTCTAGACTAATAAATAATGCAGCATCCTACTACTTTCTGCAGTCACCAAAACTTATAGTTACATATTTTTTTCTTTGATACCCCCCATGCTATCCTTAATGAAACAATGCTGACCAGTATACAGGATGTGATTTTTGGAGTGCTCTCCTTTCCTAGATATCAATTTCTGGAGGAACTGTATTCATTATTTTGATAACAGATGGTTGATTTCATTGCATTTTACTTCTGTTATTAATACATTCAGGCAAGTATATGAGTTATGGGAAGTACACAAGTCTTTCTACAGTCTGCTGTACATTTTTCTTTTTTATTCTTGGATGATGTTGTCTGTCTTATTCTGATTTTCAATTTGTATTATAGCAGAAATATCCTCAAAACATGAGAGATATAGAAACACCAAGCACCATTTTTTTCATTTTTCTCTTACATTTCTAGAACAAATGAAGCCTACAGAAATACCATGCAGCAAATTAGTATTACCAAATCTTAATTCTAGACTGTGCTCAACTGCTTAGCTACTTGCAAATCCCGTGTGGTGAAGAGTGTTTGTTAGTACTTCTTTTACTAAGCAATGATATAAAAATCTGGGAACTGCTAGTGCTTCTCTTTTACTATATGCTTTTGGATAACATCTGTGAACACAGTGATGTGCCTGTATATCAAATTTGCAGGGAAGAGCCTATGCATAGGCTGTCCTTCGTGAGATGCATGAGTGGCAGATGAGGTCTTTATTCTGCAATGATTCTACAGTCAAGATATTTGTGATTGGGAAACTGAGCAGATAGCAGGGTTAAGTGGTGTTTTCCTTTCAGTTTTCAAGAAGCCATGAATATTAGTTTCCCTAACCGCACTTTATATAGGGATCACTAGCCAGACATGTCATGCCATAGAATTTCTTACCATTAAGCGTGTTCCATATTGATAGATAATATTGAGACAACTCCTTTGTTATCATTTCTGCATTTGTTGTATGTTCTTGACAATCTAATACATTTCAACTCAGGTATATTTAGAAGGGATATGACTGAGCACAGTTTCTCAGCAATAGTTTATTTTCATATTGCCATACTGCCAACAGGTGTTCTTTATAATCCACATGATGTCAGCACTAATAATATCTACACAACCATGTGAAGTGCTTTAATATCCACAAGAAGTAGAATTTGTATTGGACAGTGAAGCAGCAGTAGGGGCTGAAGGTGCTGAAACATACACTATAGCCATATAGTCATTCTGGGGTCAATGGTTTGGAAAAGAACTTGTGAATGAATTCATAATTAAACAAAAAACAGTGAATGTTTAATTTTATTTTTTATTTTTTATTTTTAGAATCTTCACTTCTAGTTGATAATCATTTCTGGGAGAGAAAATTAGGATCTGTCATAGGTCTGAGGGAATTGAATAAAAAGCCTCCTGACACTGTTTTTCACACTGCAGTCTGTCAACTGAAAAGTACCTAGAAACAAGATTTAAGTCTGCAATAGTTTTCAAACACATAATTACAGGGATTGGTAGTGACCTCCAGAGATCGTCGAGTCCTGATGCCCTGCTTAACCACGTTCCCTAGAATAGGTGATACAGGAAGGCATTTAGATTGGTCTTCAGTATCTCCACAGAAGGAGACCTCACAACCCCTCTGGTCAATCTGTTCCAGTCACCATTACCATAAATAAGTTCTTTCTTATGTTTGTATGAAACTTCCTGTGTCTGCATCACACAGTAATGCTCATAGAAGGTCGCTCCCTTGTATGGATGAGAAAGATCCAATTGGGTGTTTGCATTTTGCCAGGAGAGATGCACTAGGATTTAAAGTCCTTGGAAGCTCTGGGAGCCAAAAGATTATTCAAGTTTTCACTGGTCCTACAGGGGCCCGAATTACCTTCAATACCACTTTTAGTGCTAGAATAATCTCAAAAATCTATCTTACTTACATGATTTATTACTGCATTTCCTTGTGCTTGCTTTATATAAGCTTGTTTTTGTAATAGTCTTTTCTTGCTCAGTCATGTGACCTTGTTTTTCTTCTTCTAATATATAATCTGTCATCCCGTTTTTTCAGTTAAAAAGGGGAAAATCAGGAGATAACAGAAGGTAATGTGATAAGCTGCTGGAAAAAGAATTCAGAGTAGTGCAACTAGACATGGAGGTGCTATAGCTAATGTGGCATCATTTTTAAAGCATTTATTTTCCATAAATACTGATATCATAAATATTGATAAATTTATAGTTCAGTTCTCAATGCATTATTTTTGATAAGCAAATATTTTTGATAACTAAATACACACTGATAACCTTTCGGAGCTGAGGGTACAAAGTTCTGGGACTTATTAGTAGTTTATTTTCAGCTAGCATTCTTAGACATTGCATCAGCAGACAGAGCAAAATGCTGCTGTAGCCATATCACTAAGAAAATTACCCATGATTTTTTTTTCCCAAAGGAAAACAGTGCAAATCCTGACTTCTTTTTTGAAATTTGAATCTTTCAGGAGATCTGTACATAATGCTGAAATAATATTTAAGTACAGTCATTATCTTCAGCCAAAAATAGGATGTTATAAAGGGCCAATGTAGTTGTAAATGTCTTGAGTTTTATGTGTGAGTATTTTGTTTCTTCTTCCAATTAGTCCGTCACAGAGTAATTACTTTGAAAGGTCATTATTATAGCAACATTTTACTGAGGAAAATGGACTTCAGTCTCTACATTTGTCTTGTTTTTCTATTTAGTTTTGCAAGCACATTAGTACTGCCAGAGTTCAAGCATATCACATAGGTTATGTGCTTTTGAACCCCTGAGAAGTTAATGGTGTAAGCAAATCTCATCCTTTTTACATTTGTTATCATCCATTAGTTAGTGATACACTGTTCTCTTTTTTAAACTAAGGGTAAAACTATGGTGCATATGAATAACCATATTCCCAGTAATATTCTTTATGTTTTTGTTGTTTTGATTTTGAAGGTAGTAATGCTCCAAAGTATCGCATGTCCTGAACTTTGTAAATATATCTCAGTAGTAGAAGAATGTTGAGATTCTTTTCTTCATTTATAGTTGTAAGACGAATTTGTTCTTTATTGGCTTGTTAGTTTGTTGTGTTTTTAGTCTTCAGTTACTCAGTAATTTAATTTGAATTTATCCTCTTGGCTGTTTACCAGCACAACACACAAAAACTTGGTTGGCATTTTTTCTCCAAAGGTGTTTAGACTTGCTTGAATTCACAGGATTGTCTGTATCTGCATTTATGTGGATCTGTGTTTGGTGACAGCTTGGCTACTAGGTTCATTTTTACGCACAGTAAACTGAGTTATAATCAATGCTTATATCACTAAGTGATGACCAGTACCTATTTTGTTTACTCAGTTAATATCCGAATTGCTGCTGTTGTGATGGATGCAGGGGTAAAAAAAAAAAAAAAAAAAAAGCATGAAAAGAGCAGTTTATTTTCCACTGAATATCTGTTTTTTTGTACTGTCAAGATCAGGAGTTCTACAAAAATTTCATAGACATACCTTAACTGAAAAAATGACTTGTTAGGATCTTAAATTAAAAAAAAAAAAAAAAAAAAAAAAAGCTTAGAAAAATCAGAAAATTATGAAATGGACTTCTTTGTGGGGAGCTTTTGACATTTCTGTGTCATCTTTGGATGCATTAATTTGTTTATGCTGCAACTTTAGAATGTGTTATTGAAACTGCAACATATGACAAAAGAGATTTGAGTTCATTATTTAAAAATAATAATCTGACACTATGCAAAACAGCCTTTTCCAGTTAAGACTGAAGTAAAAGCATGAAACCTGTTTTAACATCTATTTTGATATTTTTGTAGGATGGAATAAAAGATGAATGCTCAGTGCTGAAGCTGCAACTGAAGGAGAAAGATGAACTCATAGCCCAACTTCGCGAGGAACTGGTAAGCAAGAGAAACTACTTCAAAAAAAAAGTTTGTTTGCCTGATAATGTCATTCACTAATACCAAAACTCAAGAAATATATTCTCACACCCACTGCAGAATAACTAGCCTGAGGCTACATTAACCAGATAACACTGGCTGTGCACTTCTAGAGACTTGTCAGCCTCTGAACTGGCTACTATTTAGAGACACTGCTAGTAGAAATTTCCTTCAAAAGATTGTTTTGACAGTTGTCTTATGGTATCAAAGAGGCATTAATCAGTGGCAAAGAAGTAGCACATCAATGTATACATATGGTAGAAATCTTGAGAGGCCATGTATATTTCCTGGTAAATTGGAAATATTTGTCCCATGAATTGTTTTTTGTGTCTACAAGACTGTCCAATAAAAAATGAAATATTTTTTTCACTCTTAAATAGATGTGGATTTTAATTTAAATGAAATAGTAAGTGTTCCCATGCTTACTGATTTTTTTCCTTGCATGAGCTAGTAAGGTTGAGTACTACTATTTTAATGAAAGAAAGAATACTGTTAAGCAGCTGAATGAGGTAAATTAAGCGATATAGCAATTAAAAATACTAAACATATAAAAATGTATTTTCTTCTGCTTGTAAGACTGAGCTAAATTAATTTTAAAAATCTGGTTTTGACCCAATGATTAAAAAATATGTCTTGATTATTCTTAATTAAAGGATGGGGGAATTTTCCTCGTCATCTTTCAGATCTAGGGAACTTACTCCACAGAAAAAGCATATATGTTCAACCTATTCAAGAAGGTGTTCATTATGTATGTTACCACCAAGGAACTTGCAAATGTGGACCAAGGATTTTGTATAAGCACCCTACAGGAGGTGATGTTATTTCCGTAATTAAATCTAAATTTTCTGACAGCACTAAGGCTTTTGTACCTTTCTGTCTGGTGGCTACCCACAAAACTTGAGCAGAATGAATTCAGGTCCATCTGTAACCAGGGCAGTCTGTGAAACTGAATGGACAATGTTAGGCTTAGACAAGTCATTAGAAGCACTAGCCCTGTGACTATGGCAAAGTTACACTACATCTTTCATAAATATTAAGAAAAAATAATGGTGTTTTTCTATCTGTGGAAACAACTAGGTCTGAAGTTGCATGGAAAAATGTAATGCCACACAGAGATGAAAGATTCCTTTGTTATATTAACATCTGCAAAATAAATGCAGGTCATCAATATTCTTTGTTTCGCATTTGGCTACATTAAAAAATGATGTATTATGTAATTATTATCTAAAATTAAATGACAAAATGGGACACTGGGAACATCAAACTTCAGCACAGTCTCAGAGCATTAATTTTATATCAGCCTTTCTCGAAACATATGTTATTAACTGGCTGACAACTTTGTCAGTGTAAAATTATCCTGTATTGATACAGTGAGCTGTAGCTCATTTGCTGTTAGTTGTTGTCAAAGTTCATTTGTGTACAAGTCAGTTGCAGGAAAAAGACCCATAGGGACTTCAGTTCTTCTATCACACAATAGGCAGAAAAGTACATCTTTCTGTAGTCATGAAATAAGAATTTCCATGATTAAAAGTGAATATCTTGTGTTTAATTCATGATTAACTGACTTCAGTTTTTATATTTTAGAATTGCATATAAAACAAAACAGAGAGAAAGAGCGAGAATAGAGATGGGAGTTCTGAGACCACATTTAGTCATTTAAAATTGAATTTGGAAAGGAATCTGTGTATCTCATTTACTATTATTGAACTAAATAAAGCATGATGATTCACTAAAATGAAATCCAAGTCTGTTTTTCATTGGACACAGAAAGATATATGAAATAGCAAGTGATCAAGTGTCTGCTACTCAGCTCTACTCATTTATATATATATATATATACTTTTAAAAATCAGTCTTTTTTTCCACTGTGATTTGAGCACTTAGAACTACTCTAAGTAGAAAATATTTTCATGGTATTGTGGCAAAAAAAACCTGAGTGCTGCCTATGGTAACATCTATTTTACTGCTGTCATTGATATGGAAGCATTAACACTGAAAAATGAGTGTTAACATCATTATCCTTTCAACTTTGATGTCCTTGTATAACTTGAGTCATACATGTTGTCCCATTGAAATAAAAAATGTAGTGAGGCAGCTTGGCTGAATTCTTGACTAGATCTGGAGGCAAAGTTAAGTAAGGTGATGAATGTCCCTGATAGCTCAGCTCTTGGAGGGTATTTTTCTGCTGTGGAGTTGCCTGTATCAATTTTGTTGTTGTTGTTGCTTCTTTATCAAATGTAAAAAACCAAAACCCAAACTCTTCCCTTTTATGAGCTGCCTAGACTAGCTAGTGCTATCTAACTGAGCTTTATCCTAAGCTGTAGAAGTTAATGCTTTAATTCCAGATAATCAGAATCAGCTAAACAAAAAATAACCAGCATTTTTTTCTTTTATTTTTGCAAATTATTCTATCTTCAAAACTTATGTTAAATAATTGGTGTGGGTTTTTTTTTGTTTGTTTGTTTCTGTGTGTGGTTGTTTGATCTGTTTTTCTTCTAAATATGCATAATCTATTTCTGGAGTGCAGATTGATGGCAACCTTGGTACTTTTCTTTGGTCTGATTTCAATAATGGGCAATTAGCCAGTTGTCTGTAGTCATGAAGGATTGTTATTTTGAGTTATCAATATTTGAAGTGTAACAGAAAGCATAAGATGCACTTGAATCCTGTTTACGAGCATTTTACGAAAGGCACTACACTGAAGTGCAAAAATCACCTCAAAATATGCTTGTGCAATGTAAATGGATTGGTAGATACAGTCCTGCAGTCACAAATTGTTTTGACAGGCCAAGAGTGAGATTTGGAAAAATGAATTGATGAATTCATGATGAATACAGTTTTTGGAATTGTTAGCAAAAATAAATTTTTAGGCCTATCTATTTTCAAAACTTTAAAATATAGTTTTCAAATTTTAAAGGAATAAGGTACTTCTTATTTGGAAAGAATTGCCTTAATGCTTATGAAAAAAGAATAACATTCTAGATTAATCTTTACACTGATTATCCACTTGCTCTATGTTCTGTGGGTTTATAGTATTATTTCATGTTGGCTATTTTATGATGGGCTATTACATACTCATGGATAATTTACATAAGAGCAGACAGTTGTAAGTACTTTTGAATCTTTTTTCTTCGACGTATTTAGGAAATATTAGGAGCAGAAAAGGAAAAGATTAGGTGTACTTAAACATTGTTAAATGTCAGATTTCTTTCCTACTTTTTACAGGAGAATTAATTGTGTATGTTCCAGAAAAGGCTTATCTTTGCGGTAATTACTCTGTGAATCAGTTCCACAAGGCAGACACAAAGTGCGAAAGTGGCAATATCCTATGGCACACAATGGGGATTAGCCTCTGGTTGCTCATCTATGTCAGTCCCTTGATGAGAAGCTGCCAGTAAGATAGCATCTTTAATATTCCTTGGCACTTGAGAATATGTTTCTGCATATTAGTTTAAGTCCTTATCACAAACCATTGTCATATTTTGGTGCTTGGCATAGATAAATGATTATGTCATCAGCGTAGAATAGCATCTTGCTAGTCTGGCTGAAATGCTGCTCTCCCAATATTTCGTAAAAATGACGTTGCAGAAAAGAGCAAATCCGAAATAGAGAAATTTCCCAAGTCTCCCCCAGACACAATGCTGAAGCTTTCTTTCCTTTAGTAATAATGCATCACATGCGCTTGTCTTCAGCACCAGTGTCATTCATAGAATGATGATTTTGAGACATGTAGTATTTTACTGATGGATCTTTAAGTAAAAGGAAGCAAACATTGACTCTGAAATCAAAAAAAAAAAAAAAGCAAACATTACTTGACTCTGAAATCTCTGAAAACTTCAGCTTTTGTAGGTCTTAGTTCTGCTTTTCCACTTAATTTTTTTTTAACTAATTTTCATTAATCAGCTTTTAACTCAAAGGAAAATATCAAGATAAATCAAAACACATAGCTACAATTAATTTTAGGACAAATTGAAATGGCAGCTTCTTGGAAACATGGTGGAAAGGAAAACTTTGTGTTGCACTTGATCACTGTTGTGTATTCCATGGCGTGAAAGGACAATGTTTCATACTTCTGACTTTTTGTCTTTGGAATTTTACAAATTCAGATTTCACTTAAAATGAATGGTGAATATTAGATTATAATTCCTATGTAGTGTCTGTCCTATGCCACGGTTATGTCACAGTCCAGTGATCTTTAAGCTCTGTGGAGCTGAGCAGCTGTACCTCACCTGAGGAACCAGATGGGGGCAATCCTCACCAAAGGAGCTGTGGTGGTGCAAGGCTGGATTTGTACCAAAGCTCACAGGGTAACTGAGGTAAATCTACGTTGTTAGAAATGCTAGGAATGAAGGACATGAGGTCAGCAAAACCACAAGTGTGATTTTTATATAGTTTTTATTACTTAATTGCCTTGACTTTTTTTATTTTTTAATCTATGTGAAAGACAGATGACAAGCATCGTGTGATATCACACATCCATGCTGTCTCTACTATTCAGTCTGCTTCTTGGTAGTTACTTACCGCTACAGAATGACGAACATTTTGTTTCCTGAGCTGCCAAATGTGGAAATGTACTTAAAATATTTTTCCTGATACAATCTCAAAACATTACATAGTGTAGTTTACATGAATATGACCATAAGATATAACTTTCTCTTGGTATCATGTATTGACATAATACCAAGTCATATATATTTATAAAAGAATGAAGAGAGAGGTAGTGTTGCTTAAAAACAAATGCACATATGCTGGAAAGCTTGTTTTGCTTCTTAAGATCAGCAGTTTAGTTTGTATGTTAACAGTTTCAGGATGTTGCTAAAGGCATCTGTGTGACACATTTTTACTGCAGTCATCTGATGTGGATGAGTTTCAGATTAATAGACGCTTTATCTTCAGTGCTGCACAGCAATGCTTAATGAATCAACCAGGACTGCTGTTCTTCCAATAATTAATTTTCTGTT